CGAGCAGGTGGAGAGGGTACCGACACCCTGTCCTCAGGCCCTGAGGTTAGAGAAGATGAACACATGGTGCGAAGCAAATCAGAAGCGGTCCGTGCCCGGCTGGCGGGGCTGGCGGCTGAGCTTCGCCAACTTAGGAACCAGGAGGTCCCGTTGGATCCGGGTCAGGGCACGTGCCCGGGCTGCGGGCTGGATCCCAGTGTGGGGCGTGCAGGAGGCGGCCGATCCATGATGCTCTCTCTTCATTGATGTTTCTCTCCCTCTCCTTCCTGTCTGAAATCAATAAAAATATGTATTTTTAAAAAGTGATAAATGCTGGAGAGGAAATACGAAGTGTTAGAGGGTTCCAGAAAAAGGAGTGTACTCCTGGCACAGCGGGGAGAAGGGACCCTGTGAGCAAGACATCGGAGGCGGACGGGCAAACCCTGAGGAATGCACACAGCACAGGGTGACCTGGGGGGGGGGGGGCGTGGGGGGGAGGGGGGGGGGTGCAGCTTCCGGGGAGACAGACAAAACAGAGTTGACTGCTATGCTGAGAGATTTTGACTATTTGTAATAAAAAAAAATTTACAGTTCTAAGTAGGAGAGTAAAAGAACTGCTTTTAGAAAGTGAAATAGCTAATTTTTTTTTAAATCCTCACCCGAAGATATTTTTCCACCGATTTTTAGAGAGAGTGGGAGGAAGAGGGAAAGACAGACATCAGCGTGAGAGAAACACATTGGTTGATTGCCTCCTGCACGAGGCGACCAGGGCCCGACCCGGGAGGAGTCTGCAATGAGGCACGTGCCCTTGATGGCACTCTAACCTGGGACAGTTCTGCAGGCTGATGCGCTATTCACCGGAGCCAACCGGCCAGGGCTGACACAGCCGATCTTAGGGAGGTTGTTCTGAAAGTGTGAGCGGGTGGGATTAGCTAGGAAAGGAGAGGCTAGGATGCTGATTAGATGAGAGGTAATGGATTGAACGCCACCCACCAGCGAAAAAGGCGAAAAAGCAAGATGACAGAGCTCTAGGCTGCTCTGCACCAGGTGACCAGACGGGTGATACGCCGTGAACGTAATTAAGAGACACGGAGTTGGAGACGATGGATTCAGCTCCAAACACATCGTGTTTGAAATGCTGTGAATTAAGTGGTAGAGACCCGATCCTCACCCCAAAGGAAATTCTAACCCGGGAGAGAGGCTGAGAAGAGCGTGACAGAAGTCTGAAAACCCACGGGAAGTCCTGCAGAACAGGCACCATATTCTAGCTTTTTTTCGTTTTCTTTTTCTGTTTACTTTAGCTTTTTGCACGTGTTGTGTTTGTAGTTTTCTTTCAGAAGATCTTTTCCTTATTCTTGAGCCTGAAACTATCTTTAACGAACAGTTGTGTCTGCTCAGAGGCACCTTGTAAAGGGTGTCCCAAAATTCACCTAAGTAATTTTGATAGAAAACACAGGTTTATGATTAAAAATTGTAAATTTTTTGATTCATAAAGGATACAGTCTAGGGTTATGTATGGAATAGCACATCGGGTCAATGGCCTCCACGGCTTTGCTGGCACAGACGCAAAGCCGTGGTCTTCATTGGTCTTCATTGTCCCTGCTCCTGGGCCATAATTGGTACTTGGTAATGCTTATCAAATTGAAGGGATTGAAATCAAAGGGCAACAGATATTAGAATCTGATTCAATAAACCAAGTAAAATTAGGCCTTTATTTTTTGTTGTTGTTGTTAATGCTCATGCAAAATTCAAAGCTTGCATGAATTTTGGGACACCCTTAATTTATTTATTTTTTATTTATTTATTTTTTAAAATATATTGTATTGATTTTTTACAGAGAGGAAGGGAGAGAGATAGAGAGTTAGAAACATCGATGAGCAAGAAACATTGATCAGCTGCCTCCTGCACATCTCCTACTGGGGATGTGCCCACAACCCAGGTACATGCCCTTGGCCGGAATCAAACCTGGGACCTTTCAGTCCGCAGGCCGACGCTCGGGACACCCTTTATTAAGGTGGGTGCTTGTCAGTGTATCTTTCCCCCTCCCACATGGCTCACCTCTCGTTTCCTGGTAATTTCCTTAGCGCTGCCTCGTTTTCCTTCCTGTGTCCAGGCTCCAGGCTTCGTTCTTTTTGCTACCTGCTCCTTCTGCAGAAGTAGGAGATGGGAGTGACAGAGCATCACCTTTCCTGGGATGCAGTGAACGTGGTTATAAAATCAGTCGTTTTTGACGGAAGCTCTCGTTTATGTCGCCGGCCAAATCGTACAAGCCAGCTATTCTCAACCTTATGAAATGTTTTATTAGCAAAACTGGAAAGAGAATGTGTAGCTTCCAGGCCGTTTTTCTGCCAACGCTGTTAACCCTGGTACTGCCCAAGGACCAACATACAGGCTTTTTAAAAAATGGGGATGAGCCCTGGCCGGTTTGGCTCAGTGGAGAGAGCGTCGGCCTGCGGACTGAAGGGTCCAGGGTTCGATGCCGGTCAAGGGCATGTCTCCTCCCTGGCCCAGGTCGGGGTACGCGGAGGAGGCAACCCATCGATGTGTTTCTCTCACATTGATATTTCTCTCTGTCTCTCCCTTTCTCTTCCACTCTCTTTAAAAAATCAATGGAGAAATATCCTCAGGTGAGGAATTAAAAAGTAAATAAATTATGGATTGGTTTTGGGTGTTACCGCTTAGTGGTGAGACAATCATAACTTACCTAGTGTTCCCCCAGACATTTGTATGACTCAACTAATGAAGTCTTCAAAGACTCCTTTTCGTGTTGCACTGTTTGCCTTCTCTCTCCTGAGCTCCAAGGCCCTTCTTTTGCTTCTGTAACTTGTCTCATGAGCTCACGAGCCTGCCAGCCCAGGTGGCTCACTTATACCACCTCTGTAGCTTTTGTTTTGTTTTTTATGTAACTTCCTAAATAAACTTAAAATTTGAAAAAAAAAGAAAAAGAAAAAAATCCACAGTAATAACTTGGGATTTTGTTAGAAATTTTATTTAGAATGCGTAAAAACAATGTAAGTATAATTACTAAACAAATAGAAATATAATCCAGGGCTTTTGAGCCTGTCCAGGGGAATGAAAGTATTAACTGAACAGAACAGAAATTAGGAGAGAAGAGAAGCAAAGAAATACCATGGTAAGCAGAAAATAAACATGTAAGACGATAGCAATACATCAAAACATCGGTGATCAAAAAACAGAACACACCGGTGACCAACGTGAGTACAAAAGGCTCCCACTTGCCCCCTCTCCCCTCACACCAAGGAGCTGGGTGATTTTGGGGTGCCGTCCTTTCGGCTTGGGGTCTTTGGGGGAAAGTGTCATTCTCCGATCCAGCGCTAGAGGTCAGCAGCGCCGATTACTGCATTCCTCTCCGATATTGCGGTCAGATGCTGACCAATCAGGAGCGTGTTATTTTTGGAGCTCACATGTGCATATTTCACCTAAGG